AAGAACAAGAATCGACAAGTTGATCAATACTTGCTATTTCTGAAACTGGGTTTTACTTTCTTTAACTAAATATATATGAATCCTTTTTAGCTTAACTTGCTGTACCTGTGTTGTAATCCTGCAAACGTTATTTAGTGTTTTCGTGTACAATCCCCACAGATCGCAAACAGTGGAGCTTGTCAAATTACGCTGTATTGGAAGTAAAACTCGATCTGTGTGATGGTATGGTTAGGAAATGCAAGTTTCTTATGCTTGGTTGATTCTGTGCTCTCTACCCTTGAAAGTTTGAATACCTCTTTACTGATGTGGTTTAATAAGATAAGTAGATGATTACATTATTTTTAAGTATATAATTATTAACAATAAATTAATAAATGATTAATTGACTCAGCACCTTTTTATTCTATTGATGCGATCCTCTGTTTGAACCCTCGTTAAGTTATATATATATATATATATATATATATATATATATATATATATCTTTGGGTTGGCTTTTTTTCTATATATCTTTTTATTGGGGTGTGAATCATAGCTGAGCCTCACCCACTAAGTTTTGTTTCAGAAGAATAGAGGTTTTATGATGATTTTCCATCCAGCGGTCGACAAATCAGTGAGCCCTCAATTAGTTCTTTTCTTTTCTTTATCAATCATTGATGTACTGAATGCCAACCTGTGATCTGTGTTGATGTAAAGAAAAATCATATGATGCGTGTTAAAAGTTGAAGGAAAAATAGTTTTCTAAATGAATAAGAAAAGAGAAAAGACCGCGCACAAATGATTTTTTTTTTAAATATTAAATCGCAACTTCGAAGGGTTTAAGGGTATTTTTAATGAGTAATTTATTCCATTGTTTTTCAAGCTCAGCTTTGGAGTCAGGAGTGTGCCACTTGCCAATGTGAGTTATCGAAATGACGAGTTCTGACGTCAAAATAAATTGATCTGCCACATTTGGGATAGCCTCGGGATAATTTATGGGATATTTTGACTACGCAAATTCAAGTTGGGCTGTAATATTTTATTAGATCTGACAAAACTTAATTGATTAATTTGATGTTCATTGATGCGATCTTACTCTTGTCGAACGTGGGAAAAGATCATGGTGCAATACGATTACACAATCTTTTATATGAATAATTCCGTGAGCTTAAGACATGCGTGCACGCGTGTATATCACCATGAACACCAAAATTGCACTATGCTCTTTGTTAACCGATGACGCAAAGTAACATTTACATGTAATGCACTTCAAATTACATGATAAACCAGTAATGTTCCAGTGTCAATTTGTTCAGTACATTTGGAGCAGATCCGAAGTAGGATTGAAGGCTATAAGCCAGAATATTGGATGGCAAGTATTTCCAAGCAGAACTCCTGACTAGATCTTGGTTCAAAGTGTAATTTCAACTCCATATAAGGTTGCAAATGGGGAGTGTATTTCAGAGATTGGGCAAATGATAGCTGGATATCTAAGATTCCATCATCTTGATGAGAAATGTACCCTCCAATGCCGATTCCTTGGACTGCAAATAACGGTTTTCTTCTACTAAATCTGTGGTCAAATTCAACAATATTGGCCGCTTTGGGTCGTATATTGAAAGGTCACGAACTCGTGCAACCCATTTTGCTGCTTCCCATACCCCAAACCTGAGCCATGAAATAAAAGCCATGGTTTATTAGCACGGCATAACCTGTCTGAATATAGGTTCATAAGCAGCATCAAAGAATATTCACATAAAAGACCTATAGTGTGGATTTTCTCGCTTAAACGAACTGAATCCGATAAGAAAATGTAAAAAATTACATTAACTTAAGCGATACTTTTTACATAAGGGTTGACTTTATGAAATCCAACACTAACATCTCTATATCATATTTGTTACATCTTTTCGGTGGTTCAAAAACCACTTCAATTTAGAGTTTAATTTTTTGGTTACTATCTTTTATTTTTGAAGTAAAATAGAAGTACATTTGCACCCTTATATTCATAAACAAATATCTATAACACCACACTGATCCCTTGGGATTCTGTACTTGGATTTAAAAGTTCATTTTACTATTTGTAGACTTTGTATACTTGCCCAAATTCTTAACCGTGACAGTCCCTGCAAAGTAATAAACAGCTTAGAGTACATTTAGATGGCCGATAACACGGGTGAATAAATTGTGATTTTCACTTATTCCCCATGTACTTAATCCTATGTCTATCTTACTAATCAGATCAGACCCAAATTCAATGATGAAGATATTTTTTCACTAGAAATGCAAAAAGAAAAAAGCTTCTCTACATATTTTGGGGGTGAAAGCAATTCATAGACAACTTACGCAAACATTACGCTAGACATTCTCATTTTGTATGACGCCATAGAGAAAAACCAAGCTTACAGAAAACAAGTCCACATACTAGCAATCAGAAAACACAATGTTGTCCACTGCAAATTCACTAGGCCATTGCCAATAAATCCGGTATTCAGAAAAAGAAAGGAAGCTCACACATACAAAATGAATATCAATCTCTAAAGTATAAACTAATGTAGCTTTTATTCAAGGCAGAAGGGAAAATAAGATGAGGTTTGGATATTAGCATAGAGCAAATACTCAAGTATTATATCATACGATGTAGTTATAATTTAGTATACAACTTACTATAAATAACATAAAAACAGTTTATAAGAATATAAATGTAAATCCTAACAAAGTTTCTAACATGGATACACATCCAACACCATTTCAGCAGCTACTTTGAACTGTATATATTTTGGTTCACTTTAAACATAAGCTCTTTCATTCTTTACAAAAATAGTACTCAATCAACACCATAGAAAACTTGGATCCGATGTTAGGAAGTTATGTAAAGATATAAACAACGTACCTTGTATTAAAAGATGGTGTTACTAATATAGCTGGATAAAGGACATCCTTTCGAATATTATCATATGGAGAATATTCTCGAATTGCAAGAAAATCATCGTGATCCCCAGGGTAGCCAAACTCTTCATAATCAACAGCTGTAAGAGGCAAGGTGGGATACAGAAGAGTGTTGGTAGCATCTAAAAAGGGAACCTACAGAAGAAACCATACAAAAAGGTAATTTAGTATTAAGGTGGAGCCTAAGTAAGCCAAAACCTGAAAGCAGGCAAACATTGTTAAACACCTTCAAGACTGCGGCACGAAATAAATCAGGAGAACGATTAATGGCAGAAGCAACCAAAAGTCCTCCAGCACTATATCCCCAACCAGCCAATTTGTTTTCATGGACAATATCATTTTCGATGAGAAATTTGGCACAAGAGATGTAATCATTGATTGAGTTATGTTTCTTTGTGCGTCTCCCATCATTATGCCATTTCCTACCATAACCACCTCCACCTCTGAAACATGGCAACAAAGCTATCATATAAAGGACAAGACATTGGAGAAAATACAATTTCCAATAAAGAATATCCCTGTGAATATGAATTGAGTACATGGTCACTAAATAATGTGAATCCTACCTAACATCAGCATATGCAACAACCCAACCTCGATCTAGGAGGCTTTTTACTTCACTGCGCCACCGTTTATCGAGTAATTCACCATAAGCTCCATGCCCATGTAATATCCCTGGTTTTTTAGCTTGTGTCTTATTGTTACGCGAAAAAACAATAGTCAAAGGAATAAAAAGTCCATCAAATGAAGGGACCTCATATTGTTCACAGGCATAAAACTCAGAAAGGTCATTCCACAAGTGGTCATCTTCAAAGCTAGCATTCACAGGATTGGAGTGTTTGGAATTTGAGGACTCCATACTAATACTTGCAGAATTTTTACCATACAGTATTCTTGTCCGGTCATGTAGCATGTTTTGTTGTTGAATGATGTTCCACCTACCCGTAGCCAGGTCATAATCAACCACAGCATCTGGCATCTGCGAGAAACTTGCAATGAACATATTGGGATTTGATGATCAGGTTTTTCTTCTAGGTTGAAATACAAATGTACTTTGTAAATTGTAATATGTGTTGAACTCTTAGCCTAGTAGTAATATATACACAGGGATGTTATCCTATAAGATTGAACAAGTGACCTCCTAAGACCACATACATAGATAAAGAAAGATACAGATATGTAAAAAGCAGTACTGAGTATATTACAAATTGGTATATAAGCCAGAAAGACTTAACAAGGAGGTAACAGGAAGAAAAACCTTGAAACGACAAAAATCAATTTACCAGGCTTACTTGTAAATATACATCATGAAGTTTTTTTTGGAAGCTCAAACTTTTAAAACTTCTCAAAATTTCCTTGGATTCATATTTAACAGGCCCAGTGAATGGTCATTCAAAATGGATATGATACGAAGGTAGACATATGTTAACAGAATTGTGAAGAGAAACCATCTTCAGAAATTAACATTAAAAAAAAATCATTCACATACCACAGGTGATGATATTATGAAGCGTGTGACAGAAGAGAAAAAGTCATAGTTTGGTCCAGGCGAAATTTGGCAAACATGTTTTGGAAGTGACAAGTACTGTAGGTCCAGCTTCCTCAGTTTAAGTGACCCCTATCACAAAAATAAGATGGTTTACGTAATTGAATGCGAATATAAACCAAAATTACATCAAGAGTTTATCTGTACTAGATATAGTAAATTCTCTTCCATTACCTTCCCAAAGGGCAATGGTAGTCCAACTGAACAAAGTTGAACTTTTTTACCTTCCCTTACAATGAGTGCTAAGTACTTATCACTAAAATCAACATCCTCAATAATCAAATCTGGGTCATCCACTAATACCTCCTGCAGTTCATGAGACCCCAAACATAACATGTAAGGCAAAGCAGATTGTCACATGCAAGTTAACTAAGAAAACATGAAAACGAGCGATATTAAGAAAATATCTCACTGTATCAAAAACAAACCTGTTTTCCTTATGATATAAAAGAGGAACAAAATCGAAACAAGCTAACTACAGAGAAAAAGAAAATGTGATGCTCCAAACTACCTCCCATTTTCTTGTACTTGAAGAATCATCCACCAAACTACGAAGAAGATAATGATAATCAACTGATTGCCCCCCTTTGGGAGCATCTGTAAATAAATAAAGGTAACCTTGGTGATGTTCAATTGTGCAATGTGCTATAGCATCACATTCCCAAACTAGTTTCAGGCCAGACAACGGGTCAGCTGCATTTATTAGAAAGACCTAGGAAATGGTTAGAATTATTATCCAATACAAAAGGATTTTAAGTTTTCAGAGTTCCTAGCAAAGATCTTTTACCTTTGATGATGTGGGAGATAATGTATTCACAGTCACGTATTGGAAGTCTTTTGTGTGCCTAATATTAATATGAACACTTTCATCTGACTCTTCCAAAAGCAAAATATCTTCATCAGTGGATCCAATCAGACTGTAGTAGATACTGCAACAACAAGCCGAGAGATGAAATGAAGGAAGATCACAAAAACTTCAACGTTTGCAATGATAAGGTAAAGTAAGGGATTCTTTTAAAGACGCAACTTAGAAGCAATTGCTAATAAATGTTTACACATTAAAGATTAACACAGGTTACTGAGATAAAACTTCAATTGTGATATAAATTTTATCCTTCTTTTAACTCTGCCAAGCCATCAAAGGATTGATAACAATTCACCCACCGGTAAGGCCTCATTTTCTGATCTGTCACAACATAAAGCAATGCATGTCCGTCTTTAGCCCACGCCAAGTTCGAAACTCTTTCTGCCTGAGGCTTACTGCACAATGAACCTGAATTCAAATTTCTCACGGATAATTTGAAGTAGTCGTTTTCTTTATCATACATAGTGTATGCAAGAAACTGATGATTAGGTGAAACTTCAGAGAGTTCCTCATAAGCATAACCTACAAAAGTCAGGTCAAACAAAATGTCAGCACTCCATAACACTAAAAACTAATATCAAAGGTAAGATGTGATTCATTTGACATTCCAAAGGCAAGTTTGCCAGACAACAATGAGTAAACACTAATTGTTCTCGTGTTCCATAATGAGTAAACACATCTGGGTAGTTACATAATGTTCTCGTGTTCGATACGACCAACAACAATGAGTAAACACTATTGTAATCCTTAAACTTGTGATACACTATCACGATAGTCACTACAATTAGAAAAATGTAAATAAATCCTAAAAATTGAATTTTTTAATGACATTAGTCCTATCATTGTGACATAAAAGATAGTAAGTTATAAAATTCGGGGACTACAATTAAAAGAAGATATACATTTCAGTTATTGAAATAAAGAGAATTTCAATTTCATGGATCAAATTGAAATTTCCAATCCCAGCTATGACACCTCACTAATTGAAGGGCTAGTGTAACAACAATTGTTAGGATATAGAGATACATTCTGACACCATCGTAAAATGTGGGTTTTAACTTAAAAAAGGTGAGAATTGTTCACCCTTGTACACCATTTTAGCGATATGACTGGTTCAATCAACTTAAGATCTGGAACAGTGACAGCATAATTTACCTCCAAACCTCTCGGCTTCCAGATTATAATCAACGAGCTTCTGCTCAATGGCTTTACCCGTAGTGAAATCGAACCCTGCGGGAGGATACTTATGCGAAATGAAATCATCGTTCAAGCTAGCCAATCTTCGGCAGAGGATGGGATAGGGTTTGGCCTCTTCGACGCGGCGGTAGTAGAGCCAGGGGCCCCAGCGAAGGGGAGGGGTGGAGAGGTCAAAGGGCATGCGAGAGGCCATTTCGAAGTGGAGCTTATTGAGGAGTTTCTCTGAGTCAGACATGACGGCCTCACTGTACTTCTCCTCTTGCTCCATGTACACGTCCATGTGACGCATCGCCACTTTGTCGCTCACCTTAGACATCCAGCTGTAAGGGTCTTCCCACGTTATGCCATTGAAACTGAACTTCTGCGGCTTCTTTGGGGCCTTGGGTGGACTCGGTGGCGGCGCCGCTTTGTAGTGGCGCCGAGCCACGTATGCCAGACGGAGCAGAGGGCGCATAGGTGGACTTGGGATTAGGATTTACCGCATCACATAACATAAACCCCTGCTTTGTTTTTCTAAGCGGCACCATTTTTCCCTTTCCCTTTATCCCAAACAATAATATAAAATTTAGATTAAACAGATATAATTTAATTACTCCTGAATTTTGCAATGCCTATTACGCATAAAAATTCTTTAGTGTAAAATTCCTAAATCAATCTCTTCTAATCATTTTGATTTTTGTCATGGTTCATGTGTGATTCTTTTTTCGTGTGATCTTCCTTATTTATATTTATGTTATTTTCAATATAATATTTATATAAAAATTAAATTTGGTTTTAATTTGAAAAAGAATAAAATTAAAACAAAATTAAATAAAATTAACGAAAATTAAAATTAAATTAAAAAATTAACAAAATTATGGTTAAATTGAATATAAAAAAATGACATCTAAAACTAACATCTAACACTAACATGTTGACTTGATATATAACATTAACATTGTCACTTAACATAATGCTAACTTGACAAATGAGCAACTTTTTTTAAAATAAAAAATATTTAAAAGAAATTTAAAAAATTAGGAACTAACAAATGACACAAATTGTTTACATTTTCATTAATGATTTAAGTGTGGTTAACAAAAAGATTAAATTGAAGAAAATTAAGACGTTATTAAACAAAAAAATAAAACCAAATTTAACAAAGTAAACGAAAATATATACCAAAGTTTTATTTAAACTTAAAGTAAAAAGCATCTTATACTCCTCAATTTTTTATAATTCATTCCATCACACGAATAATCAAAACTTCTGGAACTAAACCTTTGTTCATGATCTCAACCTGAAAAATTACTTTAAAATCATGCAAAAGATCTTTATAAATATATTATTGAGGTTTGTAGTGACCAAAAACAAAATAAAAACCAATATTTTAAAACTCTTTAAGGTCATATCCATGTTTTTTTTACCTTTTTGATGAGGACATGGATAAATGATTGAATCAAATGAATAAAAATAGGTCAACGTAAGGAGGTTGGATGGAGTGCAATGGTAAAGTAATATAGAAGAAGACACATAGATTAAGATAAGTAAGATGAAATAGAGGAATCGAAAGAAGATACTACTAAATCATCAAAAAATGCATGATTGAAAAAAAAAAACCATCAAGAAAAGTGCAATCAAGTCAAAGTTGAAGTTAGATCGAGATAAACAAAAGTTTCATAATTAATTAAGAGTAATTCTTTCTGCACCTCCAAGTTTCCCATAATACCTTCTGCATTAAATGAAACTCAAAAAATTGTGTGCACATGTTGCACCCCACCACCCCTTTGCTCATTCATTCTACTTTTTCTTCTTTGCTTAACGTGTTGGTTTGTTGTTTGGAGAGTTGTAGTCCCTCGTGTTAGTGATCTCAGTATGTTGGTGTCGGCGTTTGATGTTAGAATAGTGGAACACCCTTAATCAGCAATCAAACTGTGGTTAAGGAGTGTCGGCGTTCGACTTCGAAGTACGACTAAAAGAGAGCTTTTTTTATTATGAGGGAGGCACACAGAGTGTAGGTTTTGGAGAGTGTAGGGTTTGCTTTTAATTTTTGAAAAAGAATGTCAGTAGTCCATTCTTTTGTTTTTTCAAATTTCTGAATAGGCATGCAAACAATCAGAAGGACAATATAGAAAAATTAGAGGTACAAATTGTTTCATTTTTGTAACCTTTCTTCTATTTTATTTGTATGGCAAAAAAAAGAGAGAAATAATAAAAAGATAAATTCAAATGTAAAATGGTGATGACAAATTATGAATACAATTTTAAATATTATAAGAAAATTATGATCCAGAAGAAATAACAAATTTGGTGATTGTAACAATTTGAATCATCGCCACTTCATTGGTTTCTCTTATTTTACTCTTAATAATTTATTGCTACCATGCAAAACCTTTATCTCCATCCTCTTTTTCATTTACTCCAAATTTATTCTTTTTAAACTTTGGTCCACCGTTCCATCTATAAACACAAATAATATAAAAAATATAATTGTTAGAAAGAAATACATTATTTTTTTATTGAAATATATATTAAGAAAGAAATTAATGATTTGAATATATTTGTCACACCGTAACATCCCAAAAATACAATGTAAAACCATACAATAGAATAATCACATCTAATAATATTACAGTTCAGTCTTTTAAAAGAGATTCAGTACAAATACGGCCGAACAATATAATGGAAAGTCAAAACTGTGCATAAGCTATAACTAGGCTGAACGATTTACAAAAGAGTTATATCGAACGGTCGTACTAAAGAAAAGGAAAAGATGATCGAACGATCATCGTACAATTAAACTAAACTAAAATACTGACCGAACGGTTCTATTGTTCGGTCTTAACTTCTACTTCGACTAAATTTTCTTCTTCCAACGCTTCTTCTAGCAGCTCGTCTCCTTCTGCTCACATCCACATGGATGATCATTGCAACAGAAAGACAACCGAACGTACAAAATAGACAAGACAGAAAACATAGGGTAAGCTTATGTAATTTAATTCATGTATCAACATATATTTCACACAATCAACCAAACAAGATAAATCATTAACTCTTTCATGCAAAGCTTAATACTAGACTCTGACTGTCCGGACTGTATGAATTCTGTGTAGCTACGACGTTCGTGCACCCGGGTGATGTAGTAACTGGGATACCCTCAACAGCTGTCACCCGAGGTTAGTCCTATCTGTCCAAATTAACCATAAGGACTAGGACCTCCTGTCGTTCCCACATATGACTTACCCTTCTCTACGTGAGAACGAGTAATCACGGAACATCAGGATGAACCGCCAGCTTAGCATGCCCACATTCATACTTTACCAAATTCCAATATCCATTCATGCGATATTCCTCCCTGGAATACTCGTTCATAATCATACTCATTTCATCTACATCATATTCCATCATCTTTCATTTTCAAACTTCAATTTTAACGAAGATCCCTTAGGATACCAAATACCGATCGTAAAACTCCAACTCCTAACGAGACCGAACACTTGGACTGAGACCGAGAGGTTTCCAGTTCCAGAACAAATCAAAACCGAGAGAGAGTTATTATAGGGTTGGGAAGAGACCAATTAGAATAATATTTCTCAAGATTAAAAGAATCGAACATTATTTACAATGTGAATCAATTTAATGAACTGACTCATGAGCGTTTAGACTTAACACCTTAAAGCCTAGGCCAAGTACTAAGATTCTAGGCCTAAACCAATGGAGACGAACACTGCAAGACATTCAAAGGATAGTACTTAAAAGAATCATATGAAGAAATTGAACGCTATAAATACTTAGCTTATTTATGAGTTTATCATCAAGAAAACTGAATGTTAGTCGAAGACCGAGCACGGTAGAGTGTGGATTCTGTGGAGTTTGGACGAACGTTTTTATTATCAATATAGATTACGGAAAGTAGAATGAACGCTTGGTGTAAGACCTAGCACTTACTTATTACAAGTACTTGGTGTAAGACCGAGCACTACTTGGTACGAGCGCTTGGTGTAAGACCGAGCACTACTTAATACGAGCACTTTGTGTAAGACCAAACACTACTTAATTCATAAAAGAAAGATTTGATAAATATACGATATCAATTAAATAATGTTCAAGAACGAACGGACATACTAATACATATAGATATACTAAAATTTATATCATAATGCCAAGGAACGAATATCCTTGGTTGAACGCCTATACACAAATTTTACTAGACGAAGACGCTCG